GCGCGTCGGGTGCCCACTTTGGGGTCGTGTTTCTCTTGGTTCGTGCCACTTCCCACCGCCTCGCTCCTCCCGGGAAGGGCCCCGCCCCGCCCCCACTCCACCCCATCCCTGGCGCTGCGAGCACAATCCCGTTGATTTGTAATGATTTCTGTCTCTTTCTGTCTTTCTCTTTCTCTGACCTCCCCCCTCGCCGCGAGCATGCGCAGGCACCGCCCCTACCCCCTCCGGTTCGGTTCGTTTCCGGTTTGTTTGCTGAGCTGTCAATGAAAGACCCATGTAATTATTCCCGAGCTTTACAATAAAAGTGTGAAAACCGGACCCCACTCCGCTTCTTCCAAGCCCCGGGTCTGCGTCCCGGCGAGAATGGAGCCCAGTCTGGGGTGGCGACCTTAGAGAGGACTGGGGGGCTCGTGAGAGAAAGGAGACACCGACCCACACGGAGGGATGAGTGACTCGGGGGGACGGGGCGAGGGGACACAGACTGACAGGCGCCTCTCCGTACAGCTCAAGGCGTCGGCCGCTGGGTGTGCTGGGCCCGGCCCGCTCCGTGCACCCCACCTGCACGGAGCTCCGGTGCCGGCCGGGGACGGACTGGGCGGACGCCAGGGAGGACTACGCTGCGCTGCTGCCTTTCCACCGGGAGCCCCAGGATGTTCCGGTGGGGACGGCGGCGCTGCTGTCATTGCCTGGTGTATCCCTGCTCCTTTGGCAACGCGTATAACTGCGAAACAGGATAGGATAAGGGGCGGGAGACATCTGTCTGTCTGTCGCTTCCTCCCACGCTCAGGAGCGTGAGTTGGAAGTCGACTCAGGGAAGGGGACGGAAAAGGTCTCAGCCCGGGTCTCCGGCTGCGCTCGAGCGGCTTCTGCCTCTTCCGCTCGGATCTGTGATAAACACCAGCTCTCCGGAGAGATCGAAGAACGAAGACTGGATCAGCCGGTTCCGGGCCCCGCCTTCCCGGGCGCCCCTCCTCCCCGCGCGCGCCTCCCCGCGTCCGCCCGGCGCGCTTCCGCTAGGCCGCGCGCTCTGCTCCCGGGCGCGTGCTGCTTGGGCCTTGCTGGGGCCCCCGGGGTCGATCCAGCTGCTGGGATTAGCGGAGCGCAGGGCTAATCCCGGATGAGCTTCCTTGTAAACCCGGATAGACTGCTGGGACGGTGGGGGTCGCTGGCGCCCCTTCATTCCCGGACTGGAGGCTTCGCCGGGCCTGGATCCCACACCAGATCTCCTTGGTATATTTGGAGAGAAGTGTGGTTGGGTTGCAGCGGGTAACGATCGGGGTGGAGGGGTAGTGAAGAAAGCACCGCGGGATCGGGCACACCGTGGCGTTGGGAGGTAGGTGAGGAAGGGCAAAAGCCTGTGAAAGCCTCGGAGTCCCCAAGTGTTAGATGAGCTCCTTGGCTCCTTGTAACCCTGGGCCCCCCACCAGTCCCCTATCAATAGAATCACAAATCGTACACTAATCCTGAGGCCGGACCGCCTTACACTTCCTTAATTGGTAGGTGGTGAATCGGCTGGAAGAGTCCACATCTTCCCTCTCCTGACTTGAACAGGCAGTGGATAAGAAGCCCTTCCTGTAAGAAGTTCAGGAAACGCTGTCAGGTGTCAAGAGAGTTGGAGGGGAAGGGGGTGACCCGCTGGGTACCAGAATCCTAACCTTGGCTCATTTACTCATTCTACAAACATTTCCTGAGCCCCTCCCTCATGCCAAGCCAGCACAGGGACACCTCAAGAATGACATAATGTCTATGGGACGGACGGACAGGTAAGCAGTGACCACATCATGTGTTCTGCCCTGCCTTGAACCACAGGAAATTCCTGGAAGGGGTGGTGTCAGAGTTGAATTTCGAGGGCACATGGAGGAAAAATCACAGAGTTAGAAACACTGCAGGTGGAGAGTGCTGTGTGCAAGGGCCCAGGGGTGGAGGAGGAGAAGGCGGGGAGGTTCAGGAGGGTGAGAGAATTTGGAGAGGAAGGCTGGGCCCAGAACTAAGGGAGTCCTCTGGCTAACCAAAGGGTTGGGTGGGTCCCAAGCCTCAGGAAAAAAAAAGAATTTACGTTCTTTACAGATTCTAAGACTGTGCCTTTCCTGCCCGCTGTTTCTGTTTCTCTGGCTTTGCCTGGGCTGGGAGTCAAGATCCCCAGACATGTAGACAGGAAGAGGAGGCAGGAACGCTGCCATTAGGATGTGCCCTACCTCCTTCCATCACATCTGGAGTCACAAAGACCTACGTCAGAAACCTGGCTTGGGGCCGGGGATTTAGCTCAGTGGTTCTGCCACCTTACCTGTAAGCGCAAGGTACTGAGTTCGATCCCCAATGAGTTTGAGGCCAGAGGGGAGACTCTGTCTCAAAAATCGAAAACAAGGGCCAGGGATTTAGCTCAGTGGTTCTACTGCCTGCCTCACAAGCACAATATCTGGAGTTCAATCCCCGATACAAAAAAGAAAAGAAAAAAATAAATCTAGGTCTACAACATTCTTGTGCCATGACCTTGGGCAGGTTAGTGAGACTCAGTTTTTTCATCTGTAAAATGGGGTAATAGAGTTGTGAGACTATAATGAAATTGTTTGTTCACTCTTACTTATTTAGCACCATGTGGAGGGCCAGGGCTTTAGTTCAGTGGCACTGAGCCTGCCTCAAAAGTGCAAGGTCCTGGGCCGGGGATTTAGTGCAGTGGTGCCACTGTCTGCCTCATAAGCACAAGGTCCTGAGTTCAATCCCAGGCAAGAGAGAGAGAGAGAGAGGGAGAGAGAAAGAAAATGCAAGGGCCTGAGTTAGATTCTCGGTACCAGGAAAAACAAAACAAAACCTAACACCATGTGGCAAAGCCTATGCTGGCCTTAAGGCACTTAATAAGACAGTTGGTTCCTCTCCCTCTTTCTCTCTCTCTCCCTCTCCCTGCCTGTCTCTGTCTTACACACATTCCAGCGGTGAACAGAAGACAATGAACAAACGAATGAGATCATTATAGAGGGTGTTAAAGTGCTGTGAAGGGGAAGAGCAGTGGGACATGAAGAAGGGCAACTGGAGGCGGGGCAGGGCACAGGTGGCCTTACCATAGCCAAGAAAGCTTCTTTGAGGAAATTGGTTTGAAACACAGAAAAGAATATTCCAGGTACAAGAAACAGCAGCTGCAAAAGTCCTGCAGTGGGAAACAGAATTTCACCTGAGTCCGCTAAGACGCTAAGCTTTCTGAGGGCAGTTACCGAGGTCTCTTCGACTCCTGGACCCTACGTTCTGGGTGAGATGAACAGAAGAGGGGATTCATACTTGCTGAATCAGCCCCCTCCTCCCCTAGAACGGCACTGGGAGTTGCTGGCTTCTTCCCATCAGCCCATCTGCCCAGTTTAATCTTATTTCAGCTGGGGCCGGGGATTTAGCTCAGTGGTTCCGCCACCTGCCTCGCAAGCTCAAGGACCCAAGTTCGATCCCCGGTACCAAAAAGAAAAAAAATCTTATTCCAGCTATTCTAAAGCCCCCTGCAACAGGTGGGTCTCTGCCCACTCCTGTTCTTTTCCTGGGGATCCCAGTCATTTCCTTAGGCAGGAGGGAAAGATCGGGCCCCTGTAGCATCTGCCAGTCTAGAGCCTGGGCTGCAGAATTTGGTATTTGATCCCCAGGGCCCTGGGGGAAGGTGTGCTCGAGGAAGACTGCCCAAGTGTTTACAGGTTTAGGTCTTGGGGACCCCCCTTGGCCTGGGTCTCACTTCAGGAAGGCAACCTGGATCCCTGTCCAATCCCCCCTTGCGAATACTTCCTACACTTGGATACATTTCCCACAGAGCCAACCGCCCCTGCTGCACAGCCCACACAGCTCCTCTCCCACACTCACCATCCAGCTGCACGCGGCATCTCCATGGCAACCGGGAGGCCTGGTCCATGGATGTTAGAAATCAGTGCGGAAGGGGGATCAGAAATAAGGAGACTTGGAAAGGTATCTTCCTGAGGAGGCCCCTGACCTTTCCCTTGCACCCCTTGCCAAGAAGACCGCAGTGAACTCTGGTCTTGAGTGTGGAGGGCTCATGATGGGGACCAAGAACGTGCTAGGGGCTGTTTGGACACAGGTCATGAGGCACAGTGGACAGTGAGGGAGAGCCAGGATCAGGGAAACTGGAATGATGGTGTGGAGTCTTGGGGTGAGAATCCTCGGGGCAGCAGGCAGATGAAGGGGCGGGTAGAGGTGGGGTACTTAGGGGAGCTACTTTCCCTTCTTCCAGGCCTAATTGGCTGTTCAGGCTGAAACCACCTCTTAGTCAATTAGTTTAATTAGAAATGTTGGGAGAGGAAGGGCCATGGAGGAGGGGAGGAGATGCTGTGTGAAGAGGGAAGGGGGGTGGGAGCGCCTTCTCTCGCCTCCCTCCCATTCTGTCACCATTCAGAGGGTGGGGCGGCGCCGTAACTGTCCAGGCTGGGGTTGGGAGCCCCAGTGCCCTCGGTGGTCACTGCCCTCTCCACTCACCTACTTCCTACTCCGTCCCATCCCGGCCCTGTCTCCCTGGGTCTCTCTGCCTCTGCCTCTCTCTCTCCTCGTCTCCCTTTCAGAGACCCTTCCTCAGGGTCTCCCATGTCTGGCGGCCAAAGTTTGCTTAATGAAAAGGTAACTGAGAGTCCTGACTGGAGCTGGTCCCCTGGGATGTGGAGGAGCCTCGTCTTAGGAGGAAGAGGAAATAGGACCGACACAGAAACTAGCCTGGAGGGACTCCTGAAAGAAGCATGGACCTTTTTTCTAAGTCTTTTCCCTCCTGAGAGGTTATTGCAAGGGTCAAAGTATGTGAGACCTTGGCCTCTAGAACTGGACAGTCTGCTCCTTGGAAAGCTACGTAAACTGAGAGCATCAGTTTTTCATGCTATGAAATGGGGATAATACTGAATTTGGAGCCAGGCGTGGTGGTGCTCACCTGTAATCCCAGCACTCAGGAGGCTGAGGCAGGAGGGTGACTGTGAGTTTGAGGCCAGCCTGACCTATGTACATAGATAAATAAATATCCCAAATTTGTCCTGTGGATTAAGGTGATAATTTGGGAAAACTGCTCAGCAAATTAAGTTGTAAGGGCTCAATAAATGGCAGCTTTTATGGCCACTCCACACTCCTTGCCTTCCTCTATGGCCCTTCAGGAACCAGGACATCTACATCTTCCACATCCCCACCTCCTCCTGCTGCTTCCCCATTATTGGAGGCCAAAATTACCTCTTTCTAGACCCATCTTCTTTCCTTGTTCCAGAGGCCGCTCAGTGGGTGTCCCCTGGGGGAGGAGAAGTGTGGGGGTTGAGGCTTAGATCCCGGGCCTTGCTCCAGGGATGGGATTGGAGGGCAGACTCCTCCAGTTTTGGGTCTGTTTTTCCCTTCTCTGCAGACTGGGAGGGGAGGAGAGGGGAGAAAAGGGGACAGACATAAATGATGTAGGGGAAGTGTACTTGCTGAGGGGGACAATAAGAGATGAGCAGCGTCCAGAAGCCTAAATATTTCATGGGGCTGCAGCATTGAGAAGGGCAAAGTCCCTGAGCTGTGTTTCTGAGTGTGCATGTGACTCCACATGACTTGGAGCCGTTCCACCTGCCCACTGCCCTCTGTCCCTACAGCCCCCCCCAAACCTGCACCCACGAACCCTTTCCTCTCCAAGATCCCTTGGAAAGTCTCCCAGCACACACATATTTTATTTCCTGCAACTGCAGGTGTTTGTATGGATTTTAGGCTTTGTCTTAACCTGGTCATGTCTTTCCTTGCTCGGGTATTCTGTGGCTTTCTTCATTTATTTTTGCTGTGCTCTGCCCCAGCCCACTTTCCCCCCTTTAGATCCCCCAAGGCTCACTGCCCTCATCCGTCATCCTCAGCAATCAGGAGATCCAAGTGATTGGAAAGTCTGGTTGGCTGAGGCCAGAGGTGGAGGTGGGGCTGGTGGGCAGAAGGGTGAGGCCTCCCGGATTGTCTGTCTCTGTCATGGTTGACTGAGGAGGAAAATGTCCACCTGAGCAAGTGGAAATGGAGGACGGAGACGGGGCTAGTGGCTTCTGTGACTACACTTACAGATGAGCTGAGAAACTGAATCTGCCAAATCTCTGCTTCCTTCCTGTCGGTGGTCCCCCGGAGGGCTACTCTATGACTCTGTCCTAACTCCGTATTAAGTAGGGGAGTAAAAGTCACCCCCCTTCATCTGTCCTAGGGTTTCCTTTGCCCTTGTCCTTGACCTTATCCAGTCTAGCCTGGCCTAATCCCAACCTACTACCTTGTTTACTCGTTCAATTTCTGTCTCTTCCCGCTAGATTAAAAGCGTGCAGAAGGCAAGAACCTGTCTAACTTATTCACTATCACCGAAAATGTTCCGTGAATGAATGGGAGGAATGATGCAGCCAGAGCCGGTTTGGGGGCAGGTGAGTGAGGACGGAGGTCAGCGGGACTGAGCGGAGGAGGAAGGAGGTTTGGGAGGTGGAGCGTGGGTAGGAGGGGACGGAGCGGCACTGGGGAAGAGGGGATGGAGGCAGAGAGCTGGAGTAGGGGGCTGGGCCTCAGGGAGAAGGACCCAGGCCCCCAGAGGAGCTAGAGTAGAGGCAGGGGTTTGGGGAGGAGATCCCGCATGGTACGGGGAGCCAGGGGCGGTTCCGCTTCAGCAAACCCTAGCCTGGTGGGCACAGTGGCACGTGCCTGCAATCCCAGCACTCTCGAAGGCAGGAGGATTACAAATTTGAGCCCAGCCTGGGCAATGTACTGACTCTGCGAGACCCTGACTCAAAATAAATAGTAATGATAATAAAAAGGGGGGCAGGGACTTAGCTCAGTGGTTCTGCCGTCTGCCTTGCAAGTGCAAGGTCCAGAGTTCAATCCCTGGTGCCTAAAAACAAACAAACAAAACAACAAAAACAAAGAAAAAGGTGGGGGGAAAGAGGTGGGGGATACAGCTTAGTGTGCAGACCCTGGGTTTAATCCCCAGTACAAAAAAAAAAAAAAAGCCTAAAATGGGGGCCTTGGGGGGAGGGGGGAGGGCTCAAAACAACAAAAACAAAGAAAAAGGTGGGGGGAAAGAGGTGGGGGATACAGCTTAGTGTGCAGACCCTGGGTTTAATCCCCAGTAAAAAAAAAAAAAAAAAGCCTAAAATGGGGGCCTTGGGGACAGCAGGTGGAGTGCAGGGCTACCAGGACCAACTGAGCCTTAGAGGGTTCCCAGAACCCTGCTTCCAGCAGAGTGCCTCCAAATCACTCCATCCCCATATCTGGGCTGGAGGCCCAGCCCAAGTACCCTGCTCTTGCCTTTGTAAACCCGTAAACAGGAAACGCCCAGGCCAGGACTGCCAGAGCTGCCCTTAGAGAAAAAAAAACAAAAAAACCAGGGGTCCTCCAGTAGCTGGGGAAGGTGCTCCAATGTAGGTGGGGTTCCTGACCCTTTATCTACATCAGCGGTGGGGAACATGGCATGTGGACTGCGGCAGGCTGTGTGTTATCACTGAAAGCTCTAAAAGGTTCCCCATCACTGATCTATGCTATATTCAGGGAGGCCCCGCTGGAGGCCTTCATCCACCCAAATCAAAGGTGACAGCAATATTAACTCATTAGCTCTAGGCGCCCTGAGAAAATTGGGTGGGAGGGAGTAATTGCTCACAGGGTTCAGCATGGTCCCTTGGACCTCCCCAGCCCAGAGTCAAAGGTTCTACATGAGAAGGCAGGTAAGGGATAGGGAAAGTAGCCTGTTGTGGGGGCGGGGGGATTCATCAGAGAGGTGGTGTCTCCACTAGAATTGGCCAAAGTGTCTGTGGGGGGGAGACAAGGGTTGGAGGTGCACACCTGCAGTGGTTGTCATGGCAACTGGGCTTGGATCCCAAGGGGGTGGCCTCTCCCCTAAAGCCCTGTGAATCCTGGAATGCAAGAGTAGAGGCAGGCCGGGGATTTAGCTCAGTGGTTCCACCGCCTGCCTCGAAAGCACAAGGCCCTGAGTTCGATCCCCGGTACTCCCCCATAAAAGACTAGAGACACACACATACATGTACAGGCATGTGCACACACACACACACACACACACACACACACACACACGGAGCTTGGCAGAACTCCACTCCTAAGAATGTTGTGTCTTTCTCTTCTCTCTAGAGCATATATTGGGGGGCACAGCATATGTTGGGGGCCTGGGGGAAGGCCCTTCACAGGAGAGGGGGTGGTGGGATTCCGTGTGCAGTGTGCTTGGGGTGTTGAGGACAGGTGTATACTCAGCTGCCCACTCGTGTCCTGCATCCGGACCAGACAAGATAGGATCTGGGAGGGAGATGATTAACAGACAACAGTAATCACAGTTAACTTTAATTGAGAGTTTATTAAATCCAGCTGTGTGTCAGGTAAAACGAGCCGAAAACCAGGACCATAACAAGTAAGCGTTTTGTAGGCAGTGTCCCATTTGATGCTCACAATAATTCAAGGTAAGAATTATGAGCCCCATTAATAGATGAAAACACTGAGATGCCAAGAGGTTAAATAACTTGCTCCAGGTCAAGAAGCTGGAAAGAGAACAAGACTGTGCAGGAAGGGAGGAGGCAGAGAAGAGGGTGTCAGCCTGAGGCCATTAGTCCTATCCCGCCCTATGGGTCACTCGCACTCAAGTGACCCCCGCCCCTCCCCTATACCTTGCCGAGAGGCAGGGCCTGGGAACTTCAGATCCTGGTGCCTTCTGGGGCCGGGCTGGGCCAGCCGAGGGTACCTGTGAGGGTCTAGGGTACACGGAGCAGCGGGCATCATGATTGGCACAAGCCAGGGGAGCGGCTGGCAGCCTTGTTCCCGGTAAACACGAGGAGAGGTTACTTCCCAAGGAAACAGTAATTAACTTTAATTAGCACCTTGCATCTCAGAATATTATTTACATCTCAATTTCTCTAATCAAGGCAGCAGGAGAGGGGTGGCATCTGCTTCGCTGACTCCTTCCTGGCCATGCTCCCTGATTTCGCTGGGCTCCGGCATGGCCCCCCGCCCCCTGGATGTGGCCCAGAGCACCTCCTTGGGTACGGGTTGCCAATGGAGCTGGTAAGGAGGGCTTGGGCTGTCTGGATAGAGAAAAGGACAGGTCAAGGACATACAAGCCAGGCCAACCAACCAAGGGCAGAAGGACAGGGCTCTCTATGTGGCTACCTTATTTTCCAAATAGAATAGATACTTCCGGTGATATAGGGGGAAGAGATTTAACTCCCAAAACTGCCAGATATCTGAAACAGGAGTTTGTGTTCTCTAAAATTGAAGAATGAATTCTAGGAACAATGGAGGTTAAGAGCAGGAAAAAATTATTGAGGGAAAGAAAGATTCTGTCTAAGAGAGACAGAAGGGGGACTGGAAAGTGGGTTGCCCGCTCACCCACTTTTCAAAGATGTTTTATACAGCCAAGCCATGTGGGGAGATGGGTACAAAGTGGGACAAAACTGTAAGAGCCAATGGAAAATTACAAAGTGGGAAGGAGGTGGGGCAAAACCATGACCAACCAATAAGATTACAAGTACAGCCACCCAGGTAGTATTGATTAAATGGGGTCAAATGGGGGAGCAAGTCTGACAGCAAGTGTGTACAAGGATTTTCAGTAAGGATGGGGGTCAGGGATATTTCCTGGAAAGGCTGGGTTAAGGCCTTGCCGCCCCCACCCAGGTAAGGTATACCTATTTGGAATATCAATCACTGCTCTTTATCCCAGGGGAAGCACAAAGGTATTTTAGTTTCTCTCCTTTTACAATGCGGGCCTGCAGTGACTGTGTCGTGATTGTCCTCCACGTTGGCTCCTTGCTGTGTTGGCTCCTTGAGGGCAGCCCTGTCTCACTGCCCACAAGATATCTAATTAACTCACCTACCTGCAATACCAAGGCCAGGTTGGCTTGTGTTCCTTGGACTAGAGAACAGACACAGCTGCCTTGCTGTTTGTCCTTTGTCTTTCCCTCCCTTCCTCCCTTCCTTCCTTCTCTCCATTTCCCTCCTCCCTCTCTTTTTTTGAGCTAGCCTGCTTTTTCTGTCTCTTCTCCCTCTTCTTTTTTGTCTTTTTCTTTTGTACCAGGGATCAAACTCAGGACCTTGCACCTGTGAAGCAGGCTCGGCGCTACTGAGCTAAATCTCCGCTCTGTCCCTCTGTGTTCTTCCTCTCCCTTTTTCCTACTTCCCCCTCTCCTCCTCACTGGAATTCTCCATCTCAGTAAGCATATGTGGAACCTTGGTGCACAAACTCAGTTCTTTCCATGATTCTGGTCACAAAACTGGATGAGAACCAAATCAAATTTACCCATAAGGTCAACATTGAACCAGGCCAAGGATTTAGCTTAGTGGTGCCGCACCTGCCTCCCAAGCATAAGCTCCTGAGTTGGATCCGGGGTACCAAAACAAAAACAGAACAAAATATGGAGCCTAACCATTGAATTTGATTCAGTTCTCACACAACTCGGTTTATGACCAGAATTGTGGAAAGAATCAAGTTTGTGAGTGAGGCATCACTAGAGTAAGCAGCCCTCACTCTCTGGGATACAGCAGTGGGCACAGGAGAGATCCTGCCCTTGGGGGCATTTAGAATCCCACAGGGGAGGTGAGGCTTGGATTCCCTAACTGGTCTCTATTACTGATAGGCTTCCCAAGGTAAGAAAGGTACAGCTAAGTGGGGTCCTAGGAAGGGTGTGTGGCGCCCTCATTTTAGAGTACCAGAGACCATCTGGACCATCAGGTAGGGAGAGGGCAGCAGGAACCTGAGAGATCAAGAGCATTTGGTGCCCATCTGCCCCCCTCACTGAGGTCAGTCCCGTGCCAGGGAGGGGAAGTCGCTGAGGGTGCAGGAAGTGACTTTTTATTAGCCCCACCCTCAAGGGTTGTTAACCCTGCTCAGTATATTAATAATTGACTACCCTCCTGTCTAATTACAGTGGCCTACAGCTTGCACAGTTTGATATTTATTTGGTAGTGTCCCCAGGGCTCTCCCTCTGGTCCATCCAATTTGAATTTATTGAGCACCTACTATAGCTAGAGGGCTGGGTCTGCCCTGGAGTAGGAACCAAGGGCTGGAGTCCTCTTTAGAGGGATTGGAGGGGTCACAGAAAAGCTGCTTAGAGGCCTAGGCATTTCAGTAAGAAAAAGCCCTGGTAATGTCAGCACAGGAGGAGGCTGCAACCTTGGCCTCAGCGCCCCTCTCCCACTCCTGCACTTGTGCCTGCATTGTCACCCACATGGATGCTGCAGACTAAAGTTCAGCTGTTCAGCAGTACTGCAGAGGGTGGGTTAAAGGTTCAGTGGAGGCCCAGCCTCAGCCCACCTAGGTGGGAGGGCACACAACACTTGATCTTTATCACTTACCTGGGTTAGGGAAACTGATGGAGGGGACATCAAGGTGGAGCAGTTAGCCTGGACCACCTTGCTCATGTGCGCCACAGAACCAGGA